GTTTCCATCTATGAAATCATTTAAAAGAGCCCAGAACCTACTTGCCTATGAAAATGCAGAAAGCTTTACTTTTATGCTAAGGCAGAAGCAGCATGAAAGGTCTTAATTTCTAATTTAATCAAGGCATTAAATACCTCCAAATTTGGTAATGTAAAACAGAATTGAGAGTAGAGCCAGAATGAATGGTTACTAGATTTTTATTGTTGCTGTAGCAAATGATTGTCTTGGGGATTTAAAACAGCATACATTTCCTGGCCATAGCTCGGGAAGTCCAAAATAGACCTACTGGACTACAATCAAAGTACTGGAAAGAGGGCATTCCAAAGGGTCCAGAGGAGAAGGACCATTCTTTTTAGGTGGGGTGAGGGTGTTAGGAGAGGGTCTTTCCTGCTTGCAGCGGCTGCCCTCATTCTACCTTCAAGGCCAGTTATGGCCAGTAGAGTCTATCTCACAGCGGGTCATTTCAAGGTAACTACTGTCTCCTCTGAGGTCCTGAGGTGGCCTTCTGAAACATGAAGCTCCTGCACCACACTGCGGACCGCAGGGCTTTTCTTTGATCCTCCTGGGTCAGCCACCTATATATGTCTAACACTGGCATAACACTGGCAGCATAAATGACCATTGTTCTGTATATGGCCAACATTCCAAGCAACCTGCAGGAAACAGGTGCCCTTTGAAAGCAGTATGAGCTGCCTAGTTCCTACTGACTTTGAGATGGTGTCTATGTGGTACCCTGCTTTGGATGGTCAGGCCTGCTTCCATGGCTCTCTTGGGTTGGCTAGTCCCTCGGGAATGGCAAAGGATGTTTCAATAACTTCACCGTTGATGTCCCACTTTTCCAGGAATCAAATCCTTTCTTCCACTATAAGAACTCTCATGGTTATGTCCAACCCAAAGGGGTAATCAAGAACAGTTGAGCTAGAACATGGGCAGCATTTGCAAGGCATTGGGACATTTTTCTATCACTACTGGTTAAGACACAAAATATGTTTCTAACTCACTTGGCAATCCAGTGAGGTTTTCCTGGTCAGTGGATGTTTCTCTACTTGGTGATTTGGTGTACCAGCTTCCGATCATTTTCAGCTTCTGTTTTTTATGCTTATTGATTAGTGTGTGCATATGTGTGTGTGTGTGTGTGTGTGTGCATACCCATGCCAAGGTGCACACTTGGAAGTCTGATGACAAGTCTATGGAGTTGGTTCTTTCCTTTCACCTTTATGTGGGTCCCTGGGATCAAGTTTAGGCCTTCAAGCTTAAGAGGTAAGCTCCTTTATCCTCTGAGCCATTCTGCAAGCCCTAGTTTCTCCATTTTTAACACGTGTTTTTCAGTTTTCTCTTACTGGCCTAGAAAGAAGAAAAATGTTGAGACAAGAGGTATTCTAATGGCCAGATGGAAATACAGCAGGTCATTTTGTCCATAACTGTCCTGAAACCAAGGCTCCCATTGTTCTCCTGGGTCAGTGCTTCTCCACCACTTGTCACTGGCTTCTGAGGGTCAGGTCCTTATGCTCCTGCCATTCAATTTACCAGGAACTGAGTGGTGTCTTCCTATTAGTCCCACTCTGGGCTGTGGTTTCTTTGTTACCCCATTGAGAATAGCTTGTGCCAGGTGAGGCATGACCCAGAGTAGCATGGCTTAGAAGTGGCATCCAGTGCTCTGGAGAGCTGGAAACAGAGAGGGAGGCAGCCGGAACAGGGCAGGGGCTGTCGCATGAAGTTCCATGTGTCATCCAGGGAATCAGCTGGGAAAGAGGCAATTTGAAGAGGCAGTGACAGAAGACATGTGGGTAAGTGTGGCACTGACTGCCACCTTGTGATACAATCCAGATAAGAAGGTCATAAGGGAGAGGGTCCAGGAGGTAATGGAGAATGAGAGGGATACCTGTTCCCACTGGGGCTCTTGCTGGGTTCAGGAAAAGGGTGGGATGTTGCTTATCCTAAATGGCTGAGCTGAGGACAAGCTGGATCTACAGACTGAGGTCTGAAAGAGGTGGCGTGAACAGGGGCACCTGTGCTTGTGTCACCACGTTGGGTACGACCAAGAGAGTGTTGGGTGCAGGGAAGAGGAGTCCTTGAGAGCCCACAGTCACTTAACACATGGCCCAGCACTTTCCTGTGTATAGTAGTGTTTCCAAAGCTCCATCCTGTGAATTTGTGGACATTTCTTACCCACGCTGTCGGCAGCAGAGAGCAAGTATCTCCAGTGCTTAACAAAACACCACAGTCTGGGTGATGTAACCATGGAATGTCTCACAGTGCTGGGGCTAGAAGCCCAGGATCAAGGTAAAGGAAACCTCTTTCTAAGACTTCTCCTGGGTGTCTAGATAGATTCTTTTCCTTGGTGCACCTGTGTCCTGGGCTTGTAGATGCTGTCTTTTTGCTGTGCGTGTACCTGGGTCTTTGTCAATAAAATAAGGCCAGGAATGCTTCTAGAGTTGTCAGTATTAAGCAGAAAGAAAAGTAATTTTTTTTCCTAAGTTTAATAGTAAAAAAAAAGTATGTTTTATCTATTAGGTGCTTAAAATTATTAAACTATAAATCCAACCTAAGAATAAAATGTCGATACAAACAAACTGCATGTCAGTTTGATCATCTATCAACCTGCATGTATGTAGTTTACAGAATGAATACAAGGCAGCAGCAGAGTTCAAGAGATTTCAGAAATGGGCTGGAAGAATGTAAGTAGAGTCTTTATTGATAAGATAATAAACCAAAACCGTCCAAGGAAGAAGCAGCTGCCAAGGCCATGGGAGAATCAGGGTTGAGAGCTAAGTCTCAGAATTGAGTGCAACTTCAAGGTGAGAGTGTAGAACTGGGTCAGAGCAGGAATGGCAGGTTCAGGTACAAACTGGTGAATAGGTGGAGGAATGGTGAGTTCAGGTCCAAAAAGACCAAGAGATGGATGGCAAGATAAGATTGCATCAACAGCAGGGGACCAAGCTGAGGTGAAGCCCTAGGGACAGCCATGAGTTCCTTGCCAGTTGGTCCTAGACACACACACTGGTTATCAGATGGTAGGTGAGGGTGAGGCTGTTGCCATTGCAATCCTAGGTGTCCCTCACTGTATGAGGTCCAGGTAAGAGACTTAGAACATTTCTTTGGTCTGACATGTCAGATAAGTTTTTGGGCCTGGTTTTTCCTATATAATTATATTTTATTTATTTTTAAAACTTTTCACATTCATAACCCATCCAAGTTCTTTTTAAAGATTTATTTATTTTTATTTTATGCTATAAATGTTAGGAATTAGAGTGGAAAGAGCTGTAGGTGGAAAGGGAAGCAACCAACCTCAGTAATCCAGATTGACTTTATCATTAGTCAATGGCAGGGTGGAAACTGACAGGATTCAAGCAGCAGGAGAAATTAAGTATGTAGAGATAAAGTTAGGAGGGTTGGTGTTTGTAAAGGGCCTGGGGCCTGATAAGGGAGGAAGGACTTGATTGAAGATCAGGACTTGGTTTACAGCTGAGGGTGGTATGTTCCAGGCCTAACAATGCTCAGATAAGGCCTGTAAACAGGGGTGATGGTTTATGACCTATCAGGAGCTTTTTGTGCAATCTTCCTTTACTGAGTGCTTGCCTATGTGTATGTATGTTTACCACATATGTGCAATGTCCACAGAGGCCAGTAGAGGGCACTGGATCGTCTGGAACTGGAGTTACAAATGGTTGTGAATTGCCACGTGGGTGCTGGGAACCAAACCTGGGTCTTCTGCAAGAGCAGCAAGTGCTCTTAATTGATAAGCAATCTCTCAATCCTTCTCTGATAAAATTTTAATATGCCTATGTGCTACTACAATCTCACTATGATAAATTTACAATGTGGCTCCCTCTGCACTTACCAGGAATACATCATTTGCCAGTCTGGGTTCCAGAGAGATTGTGGCTGCTCCTCCATTTGCCCTGGGCGCCACCTGTGGGTGCTCTCCGTTCTCCTGGGGTGCCAGCTGCGGCCGCTCTTCTGCTCACTCGGCGCTGAGGCCGCTCTTCTGCACCCCTGGTGTTGTCTCTGATCCTCGCTGCTTCTGCCCAGTCCCAGACCCCCGGGGCTGGTGAGGAGACTGTGTCAGCGGAGCCGCATTCAGACACAGAAGATCTGGTTCGGTGACGCAGATCCACTTTATTGCAAAAGGGCACAAGCTTATATGGGGTGTGGGTCCAATCAAGAAGTTACAGCTCAGATTCTTTGGTGGGGCTGTGTCCTATCACAACATCAAGAGTCAGACACCTTATTAGCATAATAGGTTTCAGATTACTTAGGTTTTGGTTCCCTGATTAGGGCATGGCAAGCTCTAGGCATCAGTCTCATGATCTGCCAATGGGAGCAATTGTCACAAGGTGTTCCCTGTGGCTCCAGGCCTCAGGCCTTCTGTATGGCTGTCATTAAGACTTTTAACATAGTCTCAAGCCTCTCTTCCACAAGAGATGATATTGTTTGCACATCCACCAAAGAGCACAAAATAAAAACCCTTAAAATGGAGTCAAAGAATATTTGTGAACGAAGTTTCTCAGGACAAGGCATAGACTGAAAACCCACCCTTTTACACAATATGGAGTGACTTGGAACAGGACACAGCCTATCCCAACAAACTACATTTACCTTTTTTGTTCCTTTGCCTTTGTAATTTTTTTATCCTTGCCTGAAATTTCAACAGCAAAGTTTTTCAACCTAAGATGGACAGCTTATGTAACGTCTCATGAAATCTTAAGAAGCAATTTAATCATAATTTTTATGATCCAGTAAATTGAATAAAAAGGAATGGCATAAAATTTTACAAATAAATGTTTGAAAAATAATCATGTTTTATGTCTGCCTAAGGACAGTTTCCAGTACCCCCCCCTGCTTTGTAACTTTCAAGTATACTAAATGTGATGGCTAATCCTGGGTGTCAACTTGACTGGATCTGGGATTAACTGAAATGAAAGAGATCTTCTTGACTGGATCATCTGAAGCTGCAAGACACACCCTAAATGTGGGTGTTACCTTCTGATAGCAGCCCGTATAAAAGGCCATGGCAGAGGAGAACGCCTGACTTCTTGCTGCTTGCCTTCTCTCTCACTGGTGAGTTTGTCTTGCTGCTGTAGATTGAAGACTAGCTGATCTTTTTGAATTCGTCAGACCTTCAGTGCCCGATTGGGACTACTGAGACATCCAGCCTCATGGACTGAGTGACTATGGATTCTCAGCCTCTCCAGTGTGGTGTAGCCATGGTTGGACTACTCAGACTCTATCCTGTGAGCTAAGCTGATAAATCTCTATACAAATATATTCATTCTAGTGGTTCTGTTTCTTTGGAGAACCCTGACTAATATACTAAATTAAACTGAGCAGCATTCTTTAAAGGTCTGGGTCACTGATAAACAAGATAAACGACTTAAGCATTAATTACAAAGCGTAAGTTGACAAGTACATTTTGAGCATTTGTGTGCTCTGTTTTAATAAAGAGAAGCTAAATGTACCTGTGTCTACTCACAAGCATAAGAAACTACTAGTTATAAAATTGTGGGTGGTAAGTAAAGAAATACATATTTTGATAACCTGTGTTATCAACTGCACTATTTAGAGAAAAAGAAAGCAATTTTATTCTGAAGTAGAATGACTGGTTGTTCCAGAGTCAGAAAGGGGAAAAGAATATAGGGAACAAAACAAAACACCTCCAAAACCCAGTTAATACAAATGTTTTAAAAGGTTTAGAAGGTTTTCAGGAAAGGTATTTTATGCATGGTCAAGTTGCAATTTCATGTGTGTTCAAGATCAAACTGATCTATTTAGATACTGAAAACACTGATGAGATGCAATGTCGTGGCTGTTCCTTCTGAAACTCCTGTTGAATTTGGCCAGCTATTGTGGCAGTATGGAGACATGGGGCCTTTAGCAGGTGATTAGGTTGCTAAGAGGGATTTGGTGCTTTTCTGGTGGGATCAAGTTAATTCTCATTGTTACTGGTGTTATTAGGGTCAGAGCCTGTGGTCTGGCAGTTTTAACAAGCCAGGCTCAACTACACAGCCTCAATATGCCGACTGAACTAACAAGTAATAATGGAAAGCAGAAGAGGGAGATTTATTCAATGTGGCTGCATTGAAAAGAGGAACAAAGTGGGAACAAAGAGGGAGAGCGATCCCTTCCCCCAGGTTCCTCTTCAGGGTCCTAATGTGAGGGTTAGATTTAAATAGAGATACGGGAGGTGTGCAGAGCTAAGCAGCCCAGTCAAGGTTTGGTCCTGCATCACCATGGTGTAGGCTCCAAGTCTCTCCTACAAGGTCCTTGGACAAACTGCACTGTGTGGAATCTCTTTCCAGGGGACCAGATTCCCCTTTTGGTGACATCAGGCTCCATCTCTTCCCTTCTCCCAGCATGAGATTCCCAGGAAAATTCCAACCTCTTGGGATCCTTTGTTTCTGTACTGTGATTCCAAAGGAAGGGGCACAAGTGTCTTTAGATGATCTTCATTCTTGACCAGGGGCCTAGAGCATGGTAGAGAGTTATCATACTCTTATGTGGATTATCCACAGGAAAGCTCCCACGTACTTTGCCTTTTGCTCACTGACCTGCTTTCCACACATTTATCACGCTATGAAACAGCACAAGACTCTCATGGGAGGCACCAGTCTAATCTTGAACGTCTCACTGCTAAACTCATGAACTAAATAACCATCTTTCCTTTATGAACTGTACAGTTTTCATTATATTACTGGTCTACTTAAAATTTTTTGTTGATTATTTTTATTTTGTGGGTATGAGTGCATTGCCTGAATGTATGTAGATGCACCTGTGTCATGCAATGCTCACAGAGGTCAGAGGGAGGTAGTGGATCCCCTGGAAGTGGAGTTATGGGTGGTTGTTAGTGTGAAAGAAAAGTTCCCCAAAAGAACTCCTGCACCTTGGGCTGAACTTCCTGCAAGGCTCACCAACTGATTATCACTGCAGAGACTGTAGAGAGTTTGGAATGTTGCAGGTCCAGAGCCTAATTACCATTTATCTTGGGTCGTCTTTAACCCCCTAAACAGCCATTCCTTGCCCATCTCTGTTTCTGATCTAACACCCTGTGATTAACAGATAAAAATCTTTTTAGAATGTATTATCCTAGCAGACCACCTGGTCTTACCAATCAAAAGGCTAAGAATGTCATCAGATAGCATCTGAGACCTATAGTAAAAAATCCCTCACTTTGCTGTGACCCACATACTGAATGTATCCTCCAATATATTTGAAAAGTGTCTTGATTTATGACTTTTCTTTGTTCTGTCACTATAAAAATGTAAGGCAACTGTTACCATGCTGGAACATGGAATTTGCAGTAAACTGAATCTGTGTTCCTGAGCCATGGTAACTCATATTTGGCTCCAGAATAAACTATCCTTATCCTTATCTCACCTTTGAGGTGAGAGTTATGCTTCTGTGTCGACATTAGCCACCATGGGGGTGCCAGGAATCAAACTCAGGTCCTCTGAGAGAGCAGTCAGTGCTCTTAACCACTGAACCATCTCTCCAGCCCCTATTGGTCTGTTTTTAAAAAAGCATTGTGAAAATAACCCTTGCCTTTTAACCTTTGTGAAATCTTCTAAGAAAACAGAGCTTACTCAAATATTTCCATGTTTTATGTTTGTCCTTAGCAGGCCTTTAATTGCCTAAGAAAATGGAATCTTGTCAATACTTAAGAAATTAGATTTTCAGGGACTGAAGAGATGGCTCAGTGGTTAAGAGCACTGAGTGCTCTTGCAGAGGACCTGGATTTGATTCCTAGCACATGGTGGCTACGAACCATCCTTAACTCCAGTTCCAGGGGAAACACTCATACACATAAAATAAAAATAATAAATAAAATGTTAAAAAAATTAGATTTTCAGCCGGGCGTGGTGGTGCACGCCTTTAATCCCAGCACTTAGGAGGCAGAGACAGGCAGATCTCTGTGAGTTCAAGGCCAGCCTGGTCTACATAGTGAATTCCAAGACAGCTGGGACTACAGGGAGACCCTGTATCAAAACGACCAAAAAAAAAAAAATTAGATTTTCAGACTGGAGAGATGGCTCAGCCGTTAAGAGCATTGGCCGCTCTTGCAGAGGACCGGGTTCAGTTCCCAGCACTCATATGGTGGCAAACAACTGTAATGCCAGTTCCAGGGGCTACATGTGTTCCCCAGGGATCCTGGTTCCTCCAAGGGGCAGGGACTGCTATGGAGAATTGACTGTGGAGAGTTAACTGTGGAAGGAGGGACTTGTGGCGCCAACTTGGGACCAAAGCTGTGTGAGGTGGCTCTGAGCCGTGGCGCACAGTTGCACTGTACCAAGCTAGGCACTGGGTGTTTGTTTCTTTGTAAGCCACCTCCCCCCATGATGATAATAATAAATGTACATAAAGATATGTTATATGGTTTGCCTGATAATACAAGAGACCCAGAGAGAACTCTGGCGACATTACAATACCCTGTTCTGCCTCTGCGGGCATTATATAATATGGATGTACCCAATACACATAAAACACTCATACACATAAAAATAGAAATAAATAAATCCAAAAAAATTTTTAAAAAAGAAACTAGACTTTGTTTCCTGTTTTATCTCTCTAAAATCTTTTGTTGTCACTTTATCTAGCTAATCATCCTTTGATAATTAGCTTTAACCCTATTTATGTGTTGAAACTTTTTGATTTTTTTTGATACATTTGTATTATTTTTCTCATTGCTGTGAAAACTTACCTGATAAGAAGCAATGTAAGGGAGGAAGGCTGATGCTGGCTCATGGTTCAAGTCTATAGTCCTTCACAGCAGGGATGTCATGGCAGCAGGAACTGGAGGCTGGTCACCACCTCACCTGGGATGAGAACAGGAGACAGAAACAGGTCAGGAAGTTTACGGCAGGGACCTCAAAATACTTCTGTCCTTGGCCAGAAACTGAAAATGCATTTTTGGTTCTGGGGATGGAGAGATGGATCAGTGGTTACTGTCCTCTCAGAGGATCCAAGTTGGGTTCCTAACACCCATGTAAGGCCGCTCACAACAGCTTGTGACTCCAGTTCCAGGGGACCAAATGCCTGTGGCCTCTGTTGGTACCTGCACACATATGCACATATTTTCCCTCCCACATACATATAATTTAAAATAAATATTTTTTGGTGTTTTATTTATTACTTTTATTTTGTGTGTATTGCCTGCATATAAGTGTACCTGTGTTGTGCAATGCCCATGGACGTCAGAAGAGGGCATCCGATCCCCTGGAACTGGAGTTATGAATGGCTGTTAGCCACCACGGAGGTGCTGGGACTTGAACCCCGGTCCTCTGCAAGAGCAGCCAATGCTCTTAACTGCTGAGTCATCTCTCCAGTTCCATAAAATAAATCTTATGTAAATAAAAAAATGTCTTTGCCCTGACAAGAGGGAGGACTGATTTCTCACTCTCTCTCTCCCCCAAATGAGTAACCCTGCCTGGAATCTATGTGTCAGGATGTGACTGAAACTGAGAAGAGAGACCTGGATGCCTCATGATGGGCCAACTGGACTGATCTGCTCATCCCCTGCCCCATGCCTCACCCAGTTTCTGCCATAAATCCTTTAACCCCCCCACCCCAAACTACAGTACCCCTGTGTCCCACTTCTGAGGATCCACCCCTCCTACTCTTCAAGAGCTTTGCCTTCTTTCTCTTAACCTCCCACATATGAACTTATCATAGAAGTCTGTTTTAAATTTATCCTCCCATTGTTCATGAACCCATGAGACAAGAACCCAGAGGGAGACCACTGACCCAGTGGACATTTTGTGTGGCCATAAGCATCCTGCACCCCAACTCCAGTATTAAAGTCCATCTAAGGTGAGAGAGAAAGCCTCTGTCAGACACCCCACATTTCCAGTATCAATTGCAGGTGTCAGGACAGCCCAGGACCCCAGGCTATGGAATGGTCCTCCCTCAATTAACACAACACAGAAACTCCTCCACAGAATCCCCCTGTTACCGGAGCCTGGAGGGCCTACTAACTGCTGCCTCTACTGAAACACATCAGCAGATAGATTGGTGGAGGAAGTAAGTTTTATTTAAGTCTGGGCCCAGGAAAATGTATGTACAGAGTATGTGCCTCAAGGAAAATGGTCCTCATTTTTGCAAAGGGGCTTTGTATGGAGCAGTAGGTAGAAGATCCCCCACTTGTATAAGTCATTTGAAGGGTGAAGACTTGCTCTGTCTTCCTTAGAAATCCTTTAGGCCTAACCTTCAATGTCTTTATTCACATATTAATTTTTCAAGTGAAACACAGGGATAATCAAAGGGAGAATTAGCATGGAATATCTCTTCCTGGAACTCACAGGATTGTGAGAGAGAGGAATTAGTTACTAGTTTTGCAGGCTGTGATTGTAGGTGGCAGAAGATGTGTGTGAGGAGGTGTGTGTGAAGGTGTGTGTGTGTCTAGCTGGGGAAAGGCTGGTTATTCCTTCCTGTAAGGCAGAACTTGCTTTATAAATTTATTTGTATTTTATTTCTGTGTTTTAATCTGTTCCATTACACCCAAAGATTTGCTTATATGCTGATTCTACATTCTGTCAAGTTGACAATCAAAATGAATGATAATCGCATCTCCACATCCAATTCTAAATGACATGTTTTGACCTTGAATGAACTTCTTACTAAAGGAGAGATCTCAACTGGTTGGGCTTATGTGACATGTTGAATGTCTTGACAAACTGCCACATAAGAAGTTATGCGCAATCTTCAAGTTATAGCTGTGTGGATGTGCACTATTAACATAACTACATTAGAAATTGTGTGGAATTCATAGAAATCAGTAAGTGCCCTATCTGACCAGGATTAGTTCGGCACAATGACCACTAGGGACCTCCAGCACACCCTAAAGCCTCCATCTGTAAGAGACACAGAAGTGAAGGAAGCTGAATTTTTTAAAAAATTATTTATTTAATAACCACATGATTAGAAGAAACATTTCATTACAGCTTTAGCATATTCAATAACAATTTCCAGAGCAAAGATACAGGAAGCTGAATTTTATTGTGAGCTGCATATAGAATCTTTGATGGGTACTTGTGACTTTGACTTAGTGGAAATCAAAGTACTGAGGTGTACTTTCCTAAAGTCTTCCTTATGATGATCACGTATGGGAATCTGCAAGTATTTTCTTTTAAAAATTAGCTTATGTGCAGGGTGGGTGGGATTTCTCAGTGGGTAAAGGCATTTATTTTATCTTTAATAATTAATTTATTTTATGTGTATGAATGTTATGCCTATGTGTATGTAAGTGCACCTGTGTCATGCAATGCATGCAGAGGACAGAAGAAGGAGTTGGATCTACTGAACCTGGAGCTAGGGATGGCTGTTAGCCGCCATGTGGGTGCTGGGATTCAAACCCAGGTCTTCTGTAAGAGCAGCTGGTGCTCTTAACTGCTGAGCCATCTCTCCAGTCCAGTAAAGGCATTTGTTGTCAAGCCAAATAACTTGAATTTCATCCCCAGAACCTATGTGGTGGAAGGAAAGAACCAATTCCCGGAAGTTGTCCTCTGACCTCCATGCCTACATGGTGGAGTGCATACCCAAACACAATAAATAAATATTTAAAAAATTAGCTTGTGTGGTGAACATATTGTTGGCCTGTGTTTTTTCTTCCACCCTCCCAGCAGCTGTCTCCGAAGGCTGCTCTTGAACTGGACGGTGAAAAGGCAAGGTGAGACAGACCGCAGAGTCTCTGCTGGTCACTAGTTTCTAAGCAACTCTGATTGGAGCTGCTTGGGAAACTCTTTTAACAAACAGGTTAGAACTCGTTAGAACTCTTCATCTGTGAAATTGGAACTGAAATTGAAATCTACAGAGGCAACCTAATTAACAGTCATAACCAAATAGTTTGGTGTGAACTTGGAGCAAGGTCTTTGGGTCATTTATGTGCTAGTAAAAAGAAAATCAGGTGTTTTAGACTAAACTGGGAAGATTGAACATAGAGTTAGAGTCTATACTCTAGTGTCAGCGTGAAAGACGTGGACTATTGTGTTCTAAGTGTACATGAATTACAATGTAAGAGGCTCTGTTGCCTTCATCTATAGGAATATTTCAGTAGAGGGAGGGAAGGTTAATGTGTTTTTGGCTCAGGGAAGAAGGTTACATAACGAGGGATTGAAGGCTCCCAGTTACTCACTGTTTTCTCCCTTTTTTTCCTCTAGGAAGATCATGGTAAAAAATGTAGCAATAAAGATTTTATGATGTTTTAATGCATCAAAGGACATCATATTAGCAAGGAGAAAGATGTTAGGCTTCGAAGTTTGTTTGCCTTTGAAGAATCTGAAGGAAGCAGCTTTCCCAGAGAGGCTATCAGAGGATCTGGAGTGACATTCTAGAGAGAGCCTCCCTCCACTTGAAAGAGATATATTGGGGTAAGCTGGGAAAGGGAAGGTAGAGCTCCCTCAGGGTTTGAATTTACAGTGATCTTGACTTAGATTGTGTGACATTGATTTGATGGAAATCAAAGTGTCAAAGCCTCTGAAAAATCTTCAATATGCTGATAGCTTGTAGGAGTCTTTGGTGATTCTATAATCCAGGGAAGTTTGGATCCAAGATTCTTCCAGCTGGGTGAGGATGGTGTAATGTAGGATTGACTTTTAAATTGTGAGCATAATCTGGACTAAGGACTTTTACCTATCCTTGCAACCACAAAGTTTCTGTTTATAACGTAAACAGGCTCACTGAGCCACGTGCTACTCTTAGGACCTGGGTACCTCATCTTAATCCCTCAGGAACCCACCTTTTCCTCCACCCAAGACAGAGAATGAATGTAAGTGTGCATGCTTTACATAACAAAGTGCTGAAGGCAGTGTGACTTTCCCATTGCAAACAGTGACAGAAATCTGTTTGATGGTGTGTGTGGGTGTGTATGATATTCTAGGCCTAGAGCTCCAAGGGCAAAAATTTCTGATAAGGGTGGTCCCTGACTTCTACTTTTAATTTAAGAACGAGTGAAGTCCTGGCTCAGGAGCACAGTTCTGAGAGACATCTGAAGGAACAGGTTCCTGGCACTTTGAGTCCACTCTTGGCCTTACGAATTCTAAGAGTCAGGCTATTTATGCAGGAATAACCATATGTGGCTTAGAAATGCCACAGTGAAAGGAAGAATGGGGCGGAAACTCTGGGTGTTCCCACAAGAGCAACTCCATGTGATCGACATCAGCTGGATGGGAAAACTGAATGTGGCTATGCGCCTTGTCTGTACTCCATGTATGTGTGTGGTGGGCTAGGAGCTATGAAAGGCATTCTGGGTAATGTATTGTTCTTACACATTCTCCTAGAGATTATGAGCTTGATGAGGGGATTACATTTATGATTTGTGAGATGGACACCTTATACTTGACATGCTTGAGGCTCTGTGTTCAACCCCTAGCACCGAAAGGAAAAAAGAAATCAATAACCATGGCATATGATAAAACAAACCAGGCTTTCTTGGGAGGAAGTGAGCTGCCATTTTGTGGATGAGTGTTCAGCAGCTGTTTGATAATTGCATGATAGTGATGGCATAGAATGGAACAATACACACAGTGCAGGATTCCCTCTGATAACTCTGAATGACCAGTAGTTTCAGAAGTATTCCTAGAGAGGGGAGAAATACTTTGTTTTTGCTTTGTTTACTTTTATTTATAAAATATAAGTTATCTTTAATTAAAATATTAAAACAGTATGGAAGTCTAGGCAACCAGAATAAGTCTTCGCAAAATATGAAAGATTGTCGAACTGAAGATGGGAAGCACATACAGGAAAGTTCCCTGCCCTCCTTCTACTGGGCTAAAATCAGTACATGGATTACAGAGACAAAAGATGTCTTCCTCTCCCGCTACCTGTGAGGGAAAAAACAGGTTAACAGTGAGGGCAGCTTAGACCGTCACCCACCTGAAGATCACACTAGAGGAGGCTTCCATAACAAGCCCTGGGGACCCAAAGTCCTTTCCTTAAGTTTTGCCATTTCTCTAAAAACATATTATTTCTTCTTGAAGAGGCCGCTAACCTGGAAATCAAAGCCCATTCTTTGATAGCTACTCAATTTTCTGGGAGTTTCCTCTGTATATGTAAAAATGTTTTAGTTAACAACTTCTGTTTGTTTCTCTCTTTATTATTATTATTATTATTATTATTATATTATTATTATTATTATTTTGTGAAAAGCAGAGATTCAGGAGCTGGAGAGATGGCTCAGCAGTTAAGAGCACTGGCTGCTCTTGCAGAAGACCTGGGTTTAATTCCCAGCATCCACATGGTAGCTAACAACCGTTTTTAATTACAGTTCCAGGGGATCTGATTGGAGGCCCCTTCTGATGTCTGTGGGCATTGCAAGACCATGGTGCACTTACATACATGCAGGCAATACACTCATACACATAAAATAAAAATAATAAAGTTAAAAAAGAAAAAAGTGATTCATTCCATCCAAGACCCCATAAGGAATGGAATAAAAAAATATTCTTCTCCTGTATATGTCATCAAGTCCAACAGCATGTGGAGATATAACAATCAATCAAACCTCATTCTTCTTTCCCAACTCTCAGATGGCTCATCCGAGGCAGGACTTGAAGTTTGCTAAGTGCCACACCAGAAATGTCACCTGTGAAGATATATCTATGTGAACTTGGAGTTCCTTCAGCACAGGTGAAAACCTCCCTCATACCCCACAGCAACTCCTATCTTTTACTATCTAAGCATACAATAACTTGCAAGAAATTCACATGGAAAATCCATCCACAAGGAAGGATGGTACATCAAGTTGTGGGTCTTACAGAAAATTTAATTCACCAGTAAAAATGAGAGTTGATAGAAAAGAAAATAACTGTATGTATTCTTCTTGATGTTTAGTGAGTCAGACTTGAGAGGGCCACTGGAGCGCTTCAGAAAGCTCTTTATAAATTTGTATTGAAGAATAGCCATTTACTTATTTAATTTACTTATTTATTTACTTATTAACTATTTGTCCATGCATGCAAGCACCCCAGGATGCATGTGGAGGTCAGAGGACAACTTGTGGGAGTCAGTTCTCTCCTTCTACCATGTGGGTCCTGAGGATCAAACTTAGGTCATCAAGCTTGGAGAATTTTTTTAATGTATATTTTTATTGAAATTTTGTGCATTTCATTCAATAAATCTTAATCATATTTAGACTCCCTTCCCCCATTCTTGCCCCCTATAACTCCCCTCCCTGGATTTCATGCATTCTGTCGTACATGTTAAGGCCTATCGAGTCTAGCTTTTGTACCCAGATGTCTCTCAGTACAAGTTCATCCACTGGAGTCTAATCAGTCTATCTAGAGTCAGTTCCTTAAAGAAGATCAATTCTCCCTCACCCAGCAATAATCAGTTGCCAATAGTTCCTTGGTTAAGGGTGGGGTTTATTGCCCATTTCCCCAGTTCTATACTGGGTTTCTGTCTGATGAGCACGTAGGTCTTGTGCATGCCGTCACTATTATTGCAAGTTCATATAAGCAAGTTCCCAGAAGCCCGGAAGACTCTGTTTCCTTATGTTCATGCACCAACCCTGGCTCTTAAAATCTTTCTGCCTCCTCTTCCACAATGGTTCATAGGTGGGTGAGGTTTAATATAGGAGGTCTGTCCAGGGCTAGCACTCTGCAGTCTCTTATTCTCTATACCTCGACCAGTAATGGTGTTCTCTGTGAATCACACTCTGTTGCATGAGGTAGCTTCACTGATGAGAGTTAAGGGATGCATTAATATGCTCTACCCCTTGTTCTGCTATGCTCCATGAGCCGTGGGTGTAGAGGTTCCACTGTAGATGTGTGACTTAGGGCTGGACATCTTTCAGACACATATTGTCTGTGTGTGACTAGTTGTGGACCTCTGTAGTAGCCTCCATCTGTTGCAAAAAGAATCTTCTTTGGTGAGTGGTAAATGGTATATTTATCTGTAAATATAAGGATCCATACTTAGCATACAATAAGAAGTTACATTCGTCTAGGGATATGACAGCAATTGAGTTTTCTGTGGGATCCATGACCTTTCCAGCCAAGTGTATTTGACTGTATTTACAGTGCTACCCATGAGTTCCTTTCCACTGAGAGGACTTTAAATCCAATTAGATAGCTGTTGATTACTCCCAAGGTAAAAGTGCCACTACTGCACCGCTACAGTTTGTTGTGCCGGGGTTGGACCGCTGACTTATTTTTCTCTCTTAGCAGCTTGCATAGTATCCTCTAGAACTGTGAGAGCCAGTCTCCAGGGAGAAGTCTTCCAGGTCAGTTCCAGCTCCATTGCTCCAAGTCCTGTGTCAGTAGTATGTCCTGTCTTCAGCAATAGGGTCTTACCTTCAAGTTCTAGGAGGTAATGAGGGCTGTGGCAATAGCCTGTGTTATTTTGGGAGTCTCTTGGACTACGCTGACCAACAACTTGAGGGAGGTTTCTTAGAGAGTTTTTTTTTAAGTGTACAAAGAGCTAAGCATCATTTGCTTTTAGAGATAATACTATCCTTTAATATATATATATATTTTATTTATTATTTTTATTTTATGTGTATGAGTGTATTGCCTCCATGTATGTAAGTGCACCCATGTCATGCAATGCCCATGGAGGTGGGAAGAGGGTGTTGGATTCCCTGGAATTGGCATTATGAAAAGCTGTTCGCCACTATGTGGGTGCTAGGAACAGAACCTGGGTCCTCTACAAGAGCAGCCAGTGCTCTAACTGCTGAGCCATCTCTCCATCCCAGGATTACACTATCTTTCCATCCAGGTAGCTTTATTTGACTTTGCACAAACTACTAATTTCTTTGTTTTTCTTTGAAATCACCTTTGTACCATTTAAAAAATAGCATGTATCTTAATATTTTATTTATTTCTTTTATGTTATGAGTGTTTTGCCTGTATGTATATAAGTGTACTACCTGTGTGCAATACCCACAGAGGCTAGAAGAGGGCATTGGATCCCCTGGGAGCTAGAGTTTGAGACAGTTGTTAAACATTTCTTTTGAGTTACTAATATTTACAAAAAAGGATTCAGCATAGAGAAGAATGCTTGATTTTAAAAAATCCAGATTTTTCTGGAAGGCAGCAGTTTCTTGTGGAATCACATATGAATACTACCATATAAGGATTTACTGTGTTGAAAATGTGTTGTATCTTGAGATAGGATTAAAAAAACTTACGTGAAGTGTACTATAAATATATGAACTCATTACTATACTTTAAAAATTATCCTTTCCTGTTCTCCTTTATAAATATTAGTATACCCACAATTGCATTTGTTTTCATTTGTGCACATATACATTATGGACTAGGATATGCATATGAGGGAGAACAAAGTTTATTTCTTTCTGAGATTGGGTGACCTCACTTAATATAATACATTCCAGGTCTATTAAATTTCCTGTGATTTCCTTTTTCTTTACAGCCGAATAATATTCCATGTTATGCATTTATCATTTTATGTCTGTGTCATTATCCATTCATCTGCTGATGGACAACTAGGTTGGTTCCATTTCCCCACTATAGTGACTAGAGCAGCAGTAAACATGGGGATGCAAATATCTCTATGGTAAGATATGGAGTTCTCTGGGTACATGCCCAGGAGTGAGATAACTGGGTCACATGGTAGCTCCATTTTCAATTCTTGAGGAACCTCCAGACTGATTTCTGTAATGACTGTACTAATTTGCACTCCCACCAGCAGTGAATAAGTTTCCTCTTCCTCTGCATCCTCTCCAACATCTGTTGTCAGATTTATTGATGATAGCTATTCTGAATGGGCTGAGGTTGTATCTCAAAGTAGTATTAATTTGCATTTCCCTGATGACTAGGGATATTGAACACTTGTGAAAATAGTCATTGGCTATTTGTATTTCTTTTTCTGAAAGCTGTCTGAGCCTGAAAAGTGTTTACTCAATTCATTGACCCATTTGTTGACTGGTAATTTTATTTCCCTGGTATTTAATAATTGCAGTTCTTTGTAAATTCTGGATATTAATCCCTTGCCTGTTGTGTGACAGGTAAAAGTTTCCTCCCATGCTGTGGGCTGTCTGTTTGCTGTGCTGATAGTTTCCTTTGCTGTGCAGAAACTTTTAATTTCATGTAGTCCCATCTGTTGATTCCTGGGTCCAGTTCCTGTGCTATTGCTATTCTGTTCAGAAAGTTCATGCCTACCCCAATGTTCTGAAGAGTATTCCCTATGTCTTCACTGAGAAATTCCAGGGTTTCTGGTTTAAATTAAGGTCTTTGATGCATTTCAAAATGAGTTTTTTTTTGCATTTGATTTTTCCCTTTATTGAGAATTTTATACATGGATATAAGGTGTTTTGATCAAACCCATTTCCACTCCCTCCTCTCCACCAGCACCTCCCATATCTCACCATCACTTTTTTTCTCACAACTTACTCTCTCTCTCTCTCTCTCTCTAACATTTCCCCCTCTGAAGAGGTAACTCTAAAATCTTTTAGGGATTAGATAAAAGCTCCCAAATACTTTTGACATTTTTGGCCTTTGGAACAAACTATGTTGCTAAGAGGCCCAAGGACATTTTGACTTTTAACCAAGAAACTGGCTACTTGTCTTTGGGGCCTTTTTTGGCTAAGAATTGCCTAGCCAATTCCTACCTCCTATTCTTATCACAACATCCCAAATTACCAATAGGGAATCGGGACACAGACCACTTTGGCTTCTTCCATGCTGAACAGGGAGGCAGGGGAGGCAATTGGGGTACCCCTTCAGTGGGTCTATCTAAAAGATTTCCAAATTGCATAACTTATATGTAGGGAGAAAAGAAAGTCCTTGACTGGTGAATAGGAGATATGAAGGAGAAGCAAAGGCAAGAGTAGTTAGCATTACAAGTTCTAGATAGGGAACTAGAAAAAAGTCAGAACAGGGCAAATTTAAGATGTTCATATCAGAGTCCATTGGGATTTCTTGACGAGAGCTTCCAAAAGTATCCCTTTATTGAGTTCTTCCTCATTTTTATTTTGTCTGCCAAGGCTAGATTCTAGAGTGATGGACTCAGGATTTGTTTTCAGGCACTTTGATAGCTGTTGGAGTGGCTAGAATCAGTGTCAGTTCCCTCTCAAAGGCTTCTAGACAGGGGAGAAAACAAATTTATCCATCATTTTAGAATGATAGTGGGTTGTTTCCCTTAGCTACAGGTGGGCACTACAGTATTACAGACCAAGATTTGACGTCTTACAATCTGAGCAGCAGTTTCTGCTTAGAAACAAAATCATCAATAAGAAATAATTGTCTAAATAACATTTTATGTGGATTTAAGCCTAATGCTTGGTTTTGTACAGGTGAAAGTTGTGAACCCAATTTCATTTTTGTGCAGGTGGATATCCAGTTCTGCAGAGACTACTAATTGAATACATTATCATTTTTCCTAGGTATGTTTTTGTCTCTTTTGTCAGGAACTAGGTGGACATAGCACTGTTGGTTCATTTTTCAGTCCTCTATTCTGTTCCATTGGATTACCTGTCTGTTTTTAATGCCAGTACTAGGCTATCGTTATCACTATAGCTCTGTAGTATAATTTGAGGTCAGGTATTGTGATGCCGCCAACTGTGTTCTTACTCTATAAGATTGCTTTGGCTATCATGATCTTTTTAATTTTCAATTTCATTTCATTTATTTATTTTTAAAAATATTTAAGTTATTATTTTTATTTTATGTGTGTGAAAGTATTGCCTGCATGTGTGTGTGTCTGTGAAATGCCTGTGGAGGTCAGAAGAGGGTGCTGGATCCCCTGGAACTGGAGTTACAGATATTTGCTAACTGCCATGTGGGTGAGCTATCTCTCTAGCCCCTTATTTTATTTTTTTGAGACAGGGTCTCCCTGTAACCCCAGCTGGCCTGGAACTTACTATGTAAACCACACTGGCCTTGATCTCACAGAGATCCACCTGCCTCTGTTTCCTGAGTGCTGGGATTGAAGGCATGCTCCACCATGTCTGGCTCCTTGGGTTTTTGTTGTTGTTGTTTTTAGTTTCATATGAATTCTTGCATTGTTCTTTCTGGATCTGTGAAATATGACATTATAATTTTGATAGATATTACATTAAATCTGTAGACTAACTTTGGTAGGATAGCCAGTTTCACAATATTAATTCTATCAATTCAGGAACTTGGAAAGTCTTTCCACCATTTAGTATCTTCTTTGATTTTCTTTTTCAGAATCTTGTGCCAACAGGACCCAGAGTGGGGCCACACAGAGAAAGCCCCAAGGCAACCAGATAGGATCACAACCCAGTCATCCCCTGTACTCTATGAACTCACTGGGGACTGGACACCAAACTTCAGATATACCAAAGTCTATGTACTAACCTGGGGATGTAATTAGTGCCACAGGCCTAAAGTAACCTCTAGGCACAGTAGTATAGACTTCCATCCTACAGTGACCACTGAAACCCCAGAAGCCTAAGCTATATACGTACACTGCCCTTAAGTGACCAGTAGGGTCAAGCTCTGTTCTTTCAGGGACCCTGGACACACTGGAGCCAAAGATCAGGCCCCACTCTGACCTCTGAGACCATCAGGGCTGGAGGCCTGGTCCCATAGTTTTCCCAGGTCCCTCAGAGGTGAGAGTCTACTCCCCAGATGTTCCCAAACCCACTGAAGCAGAAAGCCTGCTCTGGCAGCTGTGGCAGGTTTTGTCCAGATCCACTGGAACCAGAGACATGAACATACCAAGCTCCCTGTTGCCACCAGAGATGGAGGGCCTGCTTGTACCTAGACATTTTTAAAAGACTCATTTATTTTTATATTATGTGCATGAGTACTTTGTTTGAAGGTATGTAAGTGTACCATGTGCATGCAGTTCCCACAGAGGCCAGAAGAGGGTGCTAGATCCTCTAGAGCTGTAGTTGCAGGTGGTTATGAGTCATCATGTGGATGCTGAGAACTTAACTCCAGTCCTCTGGAAGAGCAGCAAGTACTCTTAACTGCTGAGCCATCTCTCCATTTTAACATGACATGCTTTACATTTAGTCTGTACTGTGATTATGTTCCCAATCATGGTTATAGACAAGCAACAATACAATAAATCAAGTTCCAGTTATAATGTTTGTCAGTTTCTGTGGAGTGAACACCCCTGCCCCGTACTAGTGCAAGTTACCATGATGACAATGCACATAAACTTGAGATGCAATGCACACCACAAGACTCAATAGACATATAGATAACTTCAAGAGCATAGAAGTACTACATTGTAATCAAATCACTTGGGTGACGAGTTTTAACTATTTGCCATCCTTTCTCAAAAATATATTTATTTTTATTTTATGTGCACGAGTGTTTTGCCTGCATGCATATGTGTACTGTGTGCATGCAATGCCCACAAAGGCCAGAAGAAGGCTCCAGATACCCTGGAACTGGAATTACAGGCAGATATGAGTGGCCCAGTATGGGTGCTGGGAACCCAACTTGGGTCCTCTGGAAGAGCAGCAAGAGCTCTTAACTGCTGAGTCATCTCTCTAGTTCAGCAGTTAGTTTCCTTCAAGAACAATAAAATCAGTGGCTGAGACAAAGGAAATGAACATTAAATAGGACTACGATGTTTTAGCTAAAATCCTTTAGTTTAAATGTTCTTGGGAAAAATTATTCTTTTCTTGGTAGTGAGGCAGGTAAGTGGGTGACATAATGTTTCAATGTCATACAGAGGAGATGACACAAGGACTATCAAGGGGAAATGTATTTGGATTGACTCTGTTATTCTTGGTTAAATTTCCCCCACAGAGAGCAGTTACATGTAAACTTGAGAATTTCATTCCAGTAGAGTTGCAAATACTTTCTACCTAGTGGGAGGGCTGACACCAAAGGATT